CCCCATAACCTCCCACATATACACAACCCCCCAACCCCCTACACACACACACACCCCCACATACATCCACACCCACATCCATCCACACCCCACCATACACACCTACACCCCACCCCCTACATGCACACACACACTATACACACCCCCCCCATACCCACCCCCCACCCCCACAATATACAAGACTAAGAATTTATTTTTGAGTTATTATGCAATCACCTCTATCTACACTACGCAAAAGCAAGTCATGACAAAAATATTTTTTGTAATAAAATTAAAATATGTTATAGGTATTTCACTTTTAGTGTATGATTTTTTTTTCTGGTTTAAGATGGCAAAAGTTTTTCTGGGGGGCAATGGGGGAGGGGACTTCCGGTGGCTAAGGTCAGGGGTTAGGGCTGAGACTTCTGGTCCTAAGATGGTGACAAGGGGGTGGGCCAACTGTCAAGGGGCGGGACTACCCATGCTTACCAAAACAGCTTACCAAAACTCATTAAGTTGCCCTCCACCCAAAATAACTGTCCGCGCCTGTGCTAGCTGCTCACAAAGTCCAGATTGAGTCTCTGCCTAATTGGAAGTCTGGGATTTTTTGAGTGATTTTGTGGGTGATATCTCTTGAATAATTCCTGGACCATCATGGCTACAACATCATTCTAATAGTATCATAACTAGAAGTCTCACATTCACTACTTATCCACTCTTTACGGTTCATTTGTTTGTGGGCTATATATGCTGCTCTGTTGCTGCTGCTGCTGTTTACTTTTAGCAAGGAAGTGCATGCAAGTGTAGAGTGGCACAGACAGTGTTACCTGCAGGATAAAAGCACCACACAGGATAAAACTTCTTTAGTTTGACTAACAAAAGTATGCATGAGCAGTTATGCCATTCAACATGCAAACATGTGTCAGCCTGCCAGCCCAGGGCTGCTCCACCTGGGCTCAGTGTGCTACAGAGGGGCTGGCTGAGGCATGAGTGTGCTTTAGTGTGGACATGAACAATGCATGCCCCTGGCGGCTGGAGGGGCACAGCGGCACTGGCGGCAGCATGGCGGTGGTAAGCAGGGAGCTCCCACAGACGCCACCGGTGCTGTCAGCAGCAGGGGGAGGGGAGGTGGCGAACACCGAAGAGGTGGCGGTGGCAAGCAGCAACCACCCGCAGGTACCACGCTGACACTGTCAAGGTGCTTTTGTGTAGGAGGTGCTCAGGGGGTGCATGTGCACCTGCATGCACCCCCTACACATCGCCAATGAGTGTAGAGCTAGCCAGCAGGCAGCCCCTGAACTGAAACACTCTCATGCCCCAACAGCTGAGTCAGAATCTACACGTGCGCTGGTTTGCATGAAAAAACTCTGCAGCAAGGTAGTACTTGTATTTACAGCTAGTACCCTGCTGCAGAATTTATGAGTTTCCTGCATGCTAACAGTAGTGCACATGTAGATGCTGAGATGTTTACTGCGGAGCTAGGCATCTTTTGTAGATGCACCCTGGGAGTACTTGTGGAACATGTAACAGTACTACTCTATGCAATAAGCGTCGCATAATACGGGCCATAAAAAAGTGCCCACCATCAGTCCCTCATTTCCACTGAAGTCAGCACAGGATTTAGCCATAAATGTTTAGTGCATGACTGTACTTGCATTGAAGTCAATTGCAAAAGATTGTAAGAAATGGCTGTATTAACATATTGCAGGCAAGTTTTGGCATCAAGAAATAAAAACCAGGTGTTCTGCTGAACTTTGAATTTTTATTTTACATTGACAAATACAGTACACACATGGATTCAATACACACACATAATCTGTGTTTTGAATGCCAACAAAACCACGCCAAAAGAATTTCTCCCTACAATAGTCTTTCTGAAAAGTCTCTGTAAGAAGTCCAGTATATCAAAGCTGATTTTAGAAACACAACTTTTACGGAACAGAAATACATTTTAGGCAAATAACATTGAAGGCATCTTTAAAGAGGTGCAACAAAATATATCTTCCCACTCAACCAGATCAATGGGAAACAGAACTTTTCATTTCTAATAAGGAGCTTTGAATTCATTTAAGAAAGTGCTTCTGTTTCCAGTGATGTCATGTCAGACACACCTGGCAAATAGTGCTTCAGTTTCTTTGCTGTAAACAAACAGGATGCAAATCAGTTCTCACATTTTCCCATTTTATAAATAAAACTCTTCCTCTCATTACTGCCCCCAAAGAAAGACATTGCTTCTTTCCTCTAAATTTAAAAAAAAGGGTTTATTTTAACAAGAGGAATGAAAAAGAACAAGTAAGTTTTAACTGAGCTGAGTCACCAGCACCTGAGCTGAGGGGTAACAATCTTGGGAATGCGCTTTAATGCACATTAGCCTATTTTAATGTGCATTAAAGCATCACTAAAAATACTATTCAGTTAATGCACATTAAAATGGCTAATGTGCATTAAGCATCACTTAAAAGCTATGAGCTCCTATACACATGCAAGGAAGCTGCTCCTATGTGATGTAATTACAGCATGTCAGAGCAGACTCAATTAATCGATTCAGCTGGACCGTGGTAATTACCGCGCTCCAGCAGACTCCTGGATCACCTGTATCAGTGTCTCTGCTCTGAAAAATGGCAACAGGGCATTTTAAATTAAAGCTCGTTCAATGCACCCCACCACCATTTTTCAGCATGTGGACACTGATAAACATGAATTTCCAGGTGCTTGTAATTAGTGCGGCTCTCAGAGCTATGCTAATTTAAGTAGTCCCCCCACCCTCCACACCTTTCCTAGTACCTCACAGTGGAGGTACTAGATTTAACGTGCATTAACTTAAACACTTTAAGGCACATGCAGATGTGCCCTTGATATTTGCTACGTCTTGCACTCTGGTCCCCTGCAAAAATCAGGTAATGTTAACTTTACAGTTAATTTAACACCATATCATATACCATTGTTATATATAAGAAAAGTGAAAGCTTTCCTAATGGTTGCTATAGTAGAAATGGTATTAAAAGAAGTGAAAATAGTGCATGCTTTCTCTCTGTCTCTCAGACTTTCTCTTCCCTTGCTACAGTGAGGATCCTAGAGAAAAATGTATTTAATTAGCTGTTGTTGCTATTCAGCTACTGAGTGACAAAGAAACCCAGCAGACCAGAATTCACTCCACTATTTAAGGTCACTTGGACCTACATTACGAGGGGTGGATTTTTTAATAAATGCTAACATGCTAACAAACTACACGTTGTTTCTTGAACAGAAAAGTAGGCTTTTTAAGTAAGTAAAAAATAATTGGCATGAAATCATGCCTGGCACTTTTTCAGAGTAAGAAATACTCTGATTTTGTACAGCCATTTTTTCACTCAGTGTTTCCCCAAATACTTATTACTGAATTAGACATGGGTAGTGCAGTCAGTGCATAGGCACTTGTGGTCATTGTACTCAATAATGGATCCTAATGGATCCATGGGACAGCAGTGGGACAGACTGAAAAAAAACTGCCAGTAGTTTCTGATACTCTATACTGGTCTGTTATCTGGAAGGCTCTGAAGGCCAAATTCTGATCAGGTCCACTGGTGTAACTCAACTGTAGCTGAAGTGTGCATTTCATATTTTCTGCATAAAATATGTTGCTCTTTGTTGTACCAGGGCATATGAGAGCAGAATTAAGCACCATGTCTTCAATAGAAGGAAACTCAAAAATTGTTGAGTCAGGTCCATTCTGCAAGCTACCTCTAAGCGTGGATAAATTATCAGGGTCTTTTAGCTTCCACAGACCCTTGTGCTGCTGTGGTTAGATTACTTTTGGTACAAATTAATGCATTTGGCTCTAGCTTGGTGTCTCTGCTGTGTAGCACAGCATGCTGAAGCTCCTGTTGACTTCAGGAAGCTCAAGTCCATTCTTGTGCGTTCAGGTAGAGATCGAACAAAGCCATTTATTTTTTGCCAGCATTAAATGAAAGTAGGAGATTTAAAGAAAAAATGATCAATAACAAAATGCCAAAGTTCCTTGATGTGATATTTATGCAATGTTTTAAATTATAAAATGTCAGAATATTGATGTCACATTAGATGTAATTGCACTGGAGACTCTGACATGCAATGTGATCTGCCAATCTAACTTCAATTACTTTTCTTTCTTAGCTGTCATAATTGTGAAGATCAGTCACAAGACAGGAAAAGTGATGAGCCAAATGGTTTCAAACTGGTACATGGGATTTTCACATTTCAAGCTATTCTGTCTTGTCTCTTCATCCATGGGAAGATAAATATAACATTTAAGTTAACTAACCAAGAAGACTATTTAAAGTAGCACACATTTAATATTGCCCATTACCAAATGACAAATTAGCATGAGAAAACGTAAGTAAACTCAAGAGTCTTTATGAAAGTAGAAACTGCTGATATCTCACAAATGGATCAGAAACTAGATAATCAAATCTGAATATTACCTAAGGAAAGACTTGACTAATGAGATGCCTCAGTCCAAACTTCCCTGCTATGATGACTGCTGATTTTAAAAGTTACAAGCTGCCATGTGTTTGACAGCTATCAATCAAGTTTCTTAAATAACAGATTGGATTGTGACACAATCCAGACATGTGCTTGTATAATGAAGTGGTGCTGTGCAGGTGGTGTACATGCCACCTGACCGTCGTGGAAAATGGACTATTTGAACATGGTGATTTGGTTTTTGCTATAATGACTAGGAAGGGGATACTTACTGTTAATACAAAAAGTAGCATCTCTTGTCTCTCCTGGTCTGTCACTGTTTCAGTCTGCCAAAGGTAGACCATTGTGTGAAAAAGCTTTGCTAAGTTATTCTTGTTAATATCTAGGTATTTCACAGGTATTACTTGCAAAAATGTTCACAGATTGTCTCTCAAAAAAGAGCAGCTTACATATTTATGTTATTCCCCAAAGCCCCCTCACCTATGTAGAAGGTGAATTTATTCTAACATTCATGAAAAATTAATAAT